TGATTACCCATTCCCGTTGTCCTCACTTTACGTCCCTAAACACCTAACACAAGGGACCTAGCCTAAGGAATATCATCGGGATGGACACTACTGCTAAGGGGACTCCTCAGCCATACATGTCCTAAAGGCAACCATGAGGGGGATGGAGTACGCCAATGAACATTTAGTTCATCAACGCCTACAAGTTGCGAACTTGCTAGTGTACCACTGGACTGTCTAGAAAGGTCCGTGATCATCGTCTATACTCCACTAGACTACAACAACAACAACAACAACAACAACAACAACAACAACAACAACAACATCTAGGCCTCTCACCATTTTAACACACATCAACTATTTCATCTACCCATGTTCTACCCAACATATTTGTAGATAAAATGCATATACAGTTTAAAACTTGTATAAAACATCTATTCAACAGTCACCTCAAATAAACAATTAACATATTTACACATAGCACGTATTTTAAGGTAAATACTTCATATCTATGTGTAAAGTAAATGTAACTACACACTCACTTGATTTGAGGATAATCGGGCAGCAATTCGTTTCCTAAAACGATCATTTCTAATAAAACCGGGAGTTTTATTCAGAAACCGGGCTCTACGAGGGTCAGGCTTCAAAACCGAAAAGATAAATTTCTCGGACTTCTCGGGCACTTCGTGGCGTATTCTGGGGGTTATAATTGATACTGGGGCTTTGGGGGATGTTAAAATGAAAGAAATATGGAAAGAGGGGCTAAAAGTGTCAAATTTTCAAATATTCCCCGGGAGGTCTCGCACCCTCCTATTTATAGGCCGAGGCTGCTGATCCAAGGGTTGAGAAACCTCCAGGTGGCATCAGATGCGAGAAGGAGTCACATGGGCTGCGCATGCGAGGGCCTCGCTGGCAGCCTCTGATTGGACCGAAGTCCGGGTCCGAGGAGGGGGGAGGGGTCTGTGGCACCATGCGAAGGCTCGGGACACGAGGAAAGGGGCACGCGTCGCCTTCTCACTGGACCACTTCGGATTACTCAGCAGCTCGGATGACTCAGCAAAATTTCGGAAACGTGGCATGTTTTGGGCGAGGGTGACGTGGCTGAAGCCACCTATGCGAAATTTCTCGGTTTTGGCAATATTTCTCGATTTTCGCGCCAAAACTTCTAAAATCCATAACTTTCGCCTACGAGCTCCGTTTTTTACGTTCTTTACATGTACGCGTAGGTAAAATTATGCTCTACAACTTTCGTTTAGACTTCATCGGCTAATTTTGAAATTAATTTTTATATTATTATTTTTAATAGACCGGGACAGGAAATCCGTTAAAAATTCATAACTTCTTCATCCGACGTCCGTTTTCGTCTGTCTTTTTACCGTTGTGCTACTATTGACGAGACATTCGATTCTCGTTTAGGTCGTGTTGGCTAAAAATCACTCGATCTAAAATTCGAGTTTTTAGTTGTCTACTACTAAGCTGAAACTTCGAAAAATCATAACTTCCTCATACGAAGTCAGATTTGGACATTCTTTTTATACCTACTCTCGGTTTAACGAACACTACGAGTTTCGTTTAGATCACTAAGGCTATAAAGTAGTTTATCAAAAACTCACTTTTTACGACATTCGACACCGTGTCGGTTTTGTCGTGAAACTTCGACAGGTCATAACTTCTTCGTTATAACTCGGATTTTGGTATTCTTTATATATTCGTAATCCTTGTCACGACCACTACAACTTTCTTAATAGATATCGGCTTTATCTAATATTTATTTTCGACGCTCATTTTTATTCTTAATTAATTAACTCCTAGTAAAACACATAAAACACATAATACTCACATAATTCCTTTTCATTTCTTCAAAATGTACAAAGGTTAACCTAGACTATCACATCAATATTAATTCCTAGGCTAGAATAACGAGCGTTACAGTTCTTCAGCCGATAAATTCGCCGTTTTTTATGTACGATAGATCGTTGCTCTCCATGGTGTACAAGTTTCTATTCTAGCGGATCGAGATGTCTGATTCACTTCCAGGTTTTCGAAGAGGTTGCATGAGGAGTTGGGCACAATTTTGCACTTCAGCATTGTTTATCACTCGTAGACAGATAGGAAGAGTGAGTGGACTATCCAGATGCTTGAGTATATGTTAAGGGTTTATGTCATTGATTTTGGTGCGAGTTTGTACTCCTACCTTCCTTTAGCCGAGTTCTCATACAATAATAACTATCATTCCAACATCATTACACCTCCGTATGAGCTTCTGGATGGGAGGAAGTGTCAGACTCGAGTTTGTTGGGTAGAGGTGAATCATAGAGTCATGTGAAGCACTAAGGTGGTATTCCAGATGACAGAGCTTATTCATCACATTAGGCATAGGTTACAGACAACATAGAGCCGTCAGATGATTTATGTTGATAGGTGACAGTCTGAGTTGGAGTTTCAGGTTAGGGATATGGTTCTGCTAAAGGTATCACCATGGAAGGGTGTTATACACTTCAGGAAACGGGGCAATTTGGGCCCCAGGTTCATCGAAACCTTTCGAGTGGTGGCCTAGGTGGGCAAGGTGGCCAACAGGTTAGATCTGCCTGAGGAGCTAAGAGAGATTCATAGCACCTTCCACGTTTCACAGCGTCAGAAGTGCTTGGTGGATGATACAACAGTGATTCCTTTGGACGACATCAAGATCGACGAGCGCCTAAACTATGTGGAGAGACCAGTGGAAATTCTTGATAGTAATATGAAGGCCTTAAGCAACAAGCTTGTACCCTTGGTCAAGATGTAGTGGCAGTACCGAAAGGGCTCAGAGTGGAGTTAGGAGCCCGAGGCGGAGATGCACGAGCACTACCCGAATCTGTTTTCAACTACGGATTTTAAGGACGAAATCTAGTTCAAGTGGGGAAGAATTGTAGCACCAAATTCTAGGTATAATTACTTTTGTGATTGTGGGAATTTAAGGCTTAAAAGTACAAGATTATGGTTGTCGTGACGTAGTGATGATAGCACCAAGGCGTGGCGGGACTAGATGAAATGTGCATCTCATTTGAGTGCCACAACATGACTATATTGTCATGACGTGACAGCTACATGTATGCAAAACCCTAATTTTGCAGGCCTTAAGCCCTATTTAAGGGATATGATGGCTAGGTTTTGCACACCCTCAGCCTCCATCAACTCCCTTTCTCTCTAAACAAACCCTAGCCCCCATTGTTGAGTTTTTGAAGCTTTTTCTGGTGATTTTGGTGATTTGAAGGAGAAGAAGGTGTTCATTGAGTATAGATCCAGCAAGTAAGTTCCTCCTCCTCATTCTACCACATATCTTGGACCATTATGAGTCTTCAAGTTCTAATATTTATGTGTTATGCTTCTAGTTCTAGCATTTTGTGCATTTTTCTTCATGTTTTTGGTTAGTTGGTATGGTTGGATTTCATAAAGTTGGCAACTTTATAAATCTTTGAGGTCCTCTTGTGATTATATGTCCAGGATCTAAATAATGATTTGAGTTTTGAATCTTTGCATGATGTTTTACCTTATTTTCTTCATTTTTGACCTACCTAGACTTTAAGAGATGCATTTGACATGCATGTCTATGAAGCATCAATTTTTATGATCCACTGGGTGTGGGAAAGCCTTCTAGAAAGTATGGATAGGTAGCTTGAAGGATTAAGAGTTTAATGCATTAAGTTGGCCATAACAGTTCCCATGACGTCGAAGACTAGCTCCCACAATGTGACGTTAGGTGGTCTTCGCGACTGTTTTGTCATGAGTTCACCACAGCATGAAAAATTCTTGGACATGACGTGATAACCGACTGATGGACTTTTGATCGTTGACTTTGACCATTGACCGACTCTTTGACTAAGTTGACTTTTGGTTATCTTGATGATTTTTGGACTATAGATTGAGGAATGGTCACTGATTGTTGTATAGGAGGCTCATAGTACAACCTCTTGGATTGTGTGAGCTGTAGTGTTTATCGGCTAGACTGTGAGGTGAATTTTCTCACTATACTTTGTACTGCAGTACGTATCGTTGTGTGTCAGAAGTTGGTATGTTTCAGTGATATGTTAGATTGGTAGATCTGTTATGATTACATGTGCTACGAAAATGTGGTATATTTGTACCTACTAAAATGTACGAGCGATTAGTGGATGTTATTAGGCTTAGGCTGAACGGTGTATTGATATTTTTACCTACGAAAATGTACTGCCACAGAGGTGACATATAAGCATTTGTCTTTCTTGTCAAAATTTTCCTATGATAACGGTGTGGTGCCATTTTTGCCTACAAAATTGTTTCTAAACCATAGCTATTTACTACCACTCTTGTGTATTTTCCTAATGCATAAATGTAAAAGCAATTGATGCAGCTTCCTAATGCACAAAAGTAGTTTTCACCAGTAAGAGTAAAGAGAGAGAACGGTAACAATGTGCCGATGTCAGAATACCACCAGCGAAAAACAAATCATAGGGCCGCGTTCACCGCTGGTATACTCAACCACATCTGATTGTCATTGGTAACGAAAGGACGATACTGTTTGGCCTTAGAAAAAAAATCATATATTTATTAAGCTATGGGCTCAAGAGAAAGAAACGGTAATGTATCGTCATATTGTGATTATTTCGTGGGCTCAATAAAAAAAGAGAAAATGTTAACATGGACTATGGAGCTTTGATATAAATTAAGGGCTTAAAAAAATGCTGACGAGGTGTCTTGGGAAAAAGAATATGCTGCTGGGCTTCTAAGAAATTAATTAATGGGGTCTGGTATTAGGTAAGGGAAAACACGATCAAGGAAAAAAAACAATCAACTTTGGCTGTTATTATTATTATTATTATATATATATATATTAAAGTTGTGTTAAAAGATGAATAGTGAAATTGTGTGTTTTTGGCAGAAATGGTCCCTTGATTATAGAATTTTGGTATAGGGGTGTTTTATGGAAAATATTCTATTCTCTGTCCACGTGTTGGTCATCGTGCCCGGCCTCTCAGTATTTGATGTTTATCTGTTTTCGTTCTGTTTGCTTCACGATCCTTCCACCACCTCCCAAATCGAGTCTCCTCTCTTCTTCTACCCTTTGCTCCCTCCACCTCCAACCACTTCCTGATCCTTTATGTTTGACGCTTGCATCTCTGATTACCTCTTTCTCTTGGCGTTTGTCGCTGTACCATTAGTGGTGGAGGCCGTTACGGCTGTTAAGGTGGTGGTAGACGACGAGATTAGGGTTTTCGATGTCCCGTACTGGTCGGTCTTGTAATTGAAGCTTCAGGTCTTCATACATGCAATCGATCAAGTAGGTATTCCCAGATACCCTTGCAAACTGACAATTGGTGGCATGCGGAGATCGACGATTCGATCAGTCGACTTCTTAATCACAAAATCGGTACTTGTCTTCCGGTGCCGGAAGACTCCGTTCGTCAAATGGTCTACCGGAGACACTTTTTCGCCGTCGTTAGTGGGTGGCTCTAACTTCGATGCTAGAGTTTTACGACATAGTTTGAGTACAATCGACAAATAAAACCCGAAAGCTTTCTATTTCCACCGCTTCTCTTCTACTTCTTCATCGCTTCTCCAACCTTAAGCAATCAGCAGGCGCCAGTGGTGGTGGTGGTGTTATTTGGAGTAAGGAACGGAAGAGTTCTCTAGCAGGGGTATGCCAGGGGCGCTGCTTCAATGAAATCACGTCTACTACTATTAGAAATCTCGAAGCATGGACCTCCATCGACCGGTACTTTGATTGATCATATGCTTAATTTCTTCTTTATACAAATTACAATATGGATTTCCGACTGAAATTGTGTTTCAATTGATTTGTAGGCACATATGAAATTTAAGGATAAGTTGCTTGCTTCATCATCCCCAGCCCTATACAAGCCAGGAAGGCGATTGCTGTTGATGTTCCCCAAGGATTGGGCAACAAGGTATCAAATTTTATACTTTACTTCAAAAATCAACAAACAAATTAACCCATCTTCTTGAATATATATTACTAGATCATAACCATTCAATATATTGCTTCTAACTTCAATTCATGGAATTGCTATTCATGTTCATGATTCCGAAAGGTACTCCTGTGATATTCCTTGCTCAATTCCATGTTAGGTTCTCATCTTTGGGTCTCAATCTCTATCTCAGTTATACAGTGGGAGCTAATTCCCTTTATATTATCTTCTCTCAATCTAACAACTTAATATACTAATATGGTTACACTTTTACATCAAATTTTACAGGCTTTGAAGTTGTTTTGGTTTTTATGCTTGCAGAAGTGGGTCATACAGAGCCAAACAAGAAGATAGGCTTTGTAAGAAAGATTATTTTTGCTTCATTCCTTATAGTATTATGTATAAAAATGTATTGAGTTTACATAATACTTATCGATTTATTACACAACTGACTTAATTTTGAAACTTACAGGTATTCGGCAGCTCATGTATCTGGATAAATGAGAAAAGGAGTCTAGAATGTTGGTGTTCATGGTAAATTTTGTTGCGTAGATGAGGAATCTAAAGGATTTTTGCTCAGAAAGAGGATGGGCACATCATAAGCTGAAGGTACTTTGTACAGATTCCATTCATTTTACCATTCAACCTTTTTGTTCTCTTTGATTTGACTGATATTTGATTCCCTAGAAGGCAGGAGATGTTTGCTCTACCCACTTGGCTTCTTAGTATGGCCATTTTTAATTTGAAAACACTATTATTTCCCTTTTTGCTAATAATGGATTGAATTGTCACATTGCAAATTCCATAATTGGTGAAAATGAAATAGTTATGTATGAATCGTTAAAAATGTGTTGGTGAAAATGACAGTACCTTTTATATGAAATATGGTACAAAATTTAACTGGGTTGGTTGAAACATGGTTTTTCCTAATTCGTAAGACAAGTGAAACATTGTTTGCATAAAGTAGCTAAAAAAATAATAATAAACATTTTTTTCATAAATTGGTATTGCCTCTTTATTTCTATTTCTACCACGATTAGTTTTTGGCGCTAATCGATTCAATTGTCCATTTACCCAGAATACAGTTGCAATCGCAATGCACAAGCTTTTCATGGTAACCGAAAATCAATATGCTGCCTGTTATGCTCTTCGGGATGTGCGACGGAGGTGGTTTCACTGTCGACTTGCCCACCGCCGTTTCCACTGTTTCTTTTTTTCTTCTATTTGTTCCACTTTACAGGTAGATCGATTAGACTGCTTAGGGTATGTCAAAATACACGCTTATTCTCCTGATAATTTTTTGTTGGTATGATTGATTAAAGTTAAAACAATTAGATGAACACATGATTTGTCAACTTTTGTGTGTGCATATTTAAGTTGTTAAGACTTTATTGAGTGATTAGATCGTTCTGTTCCTACTTTAATGGAACTATGATACGGTGTTCTAAAGCATTAATCTTATAAAAAATTCTCTTGATTTTGGTTAATTGATAATGCAGATTGATTTAGATGTCCAGTGGAGGATCTCAAACGAGTCTGAGGAAAGCTCTTGGAGCCATTAAGGACAGCACCACTGTCAATTTGGCTAAAGTGAATAGATTATAAGGTATTGAAACATTTTGAATTTTTTTTCTTTCTATGATTGTTACTTTAATATCCCCTGTTTGTTTCATTTTGTAGGAATTGGATGTAAATATTGTTAAGGCCACTAATCATGTTGACCACCCTGCAAAAGAGAAACATATGCAAGGTGTGTTTCTATAAAATTATTTGTTTGTGGTCTATTAACAGAAGGTAGCCCTTATATTTCCCTAATCCTGGATCCATTATTGCAGCTATATTTGCATCCATCTCCGCTACAAGACCTAGACCTGATGTTGCATATTGCATCCATGGTCTTGCAAGAAGATTATGAAAGACACACAATTGGGGCAGTATGTATATTGTATCCCTATCATTGAATCTCTTTATCTCAACATTTTTCCATAGAAAGCTTCATCTTTTTTCAGGTTGCTTTGAAAACTCTAATTATTATTCACCAAGCCTTAAAGGAGGTGGACCCCACACTTCAAGAAGAGCTCCACATTATAAAAAGTATGCTACTTCACTATTTTTTATACTTTTTGACCTTTATTTAATATTTATGTCACTCATACCTCAAACCTAACTAATGTTAAACTCAAAAATAAGCAAGGGCAAAAAGGTAAAGAAAATTTCAAACTTGACTTAATATGCTAATGCATAGACAACTTGATATCTGGATGTAGTCAGAAAAATAAGCAAGGGCAAAATGGTAACAAATTTTCAAACTTGACTTAATGTAGTAGTAATGTGTAGTCTGTAGACAACCAGATATCTGGATGTAGTCATAGAAATATGCAAGGGCAAAAAGGTAAGAAATTTATGATTATGTATGCAATATTAGCTTAAAATTCATGTTTTAACTAATAAGAACTATCTTTCCTTACTGCAGGGATGGATACAACGATTTCAATACTTTCTACATGCAGGTGAGCTTCCCGTAATTGTTAGCTTAAATTTTATGATTTTCTTCCAATCTTTTTTAATTTTAATTTTGTATTTGTATTTTTCCACACACACACACACACACACACTAGGCTGCTTTAGGTACTACAGATTTGATGAAACCCGTAGGCCAGGCCTGCAAACCAAAACAGAGCAGGTATGCTATTTTACACTTTTATTCATTGGAGGATTCACGGTTGTCGGTTATTTTTTTGTTTCAACATTCTTTGGCAAATTCATAGAGGTAAGCTACTTGGTTACTTTTGTTTTCTTCTTTCTAATAAAGAGATTTACTATTCCTATAAACATGCAATGGGTTTTAAAGCATTTTTAGGTTAAATTTTTTAGTTTATCTTCTTCTCTTTCTACAGGTATTTGCTAAAGGAATGTAGAAAGTAAGACGTCATAACAAAAGTACATTGCTATTTCATGCACTTAAATATTTTGCTTGCATTGTTTGTTTGTAATATTAGATGAGTGACCTGAATCCGAAGGTGAAGACGGTTGGTTTTTTTTGTCTATCGCATAAACATCTATGTGTTCTTTTGGTGTTTTATATATATGTAACCATTTTGGTCAGCCTTCATTCCCCTACGAGCACAATGACAACAAAATATAAAACATGCCAAAGCGTACCACAAACGACAAAAAAAAATTATCAATAATCCCTGTGTGTTCAGTAAATTTGTTTGTTCCAAACCCCGCGGAACGGGTTTCCCAGCTCGTTATTGTTATTTTTCTCTATGATCGTGGTTGTATTGAATCAATTATGTGGCTTGGGTTCAGAAAGAGTGATAACTAGGAAAGCTCCCAAAGGAAACAAAGATCGAACAAGGTATTCTAAGCTCGATAATGGTTAATGAAAACCGCTAAGAAATAACTGTTTAGGTTTCAAGAAGAAAACGATTGAATCAGTAAAATCAATGTTGTAAAAAAACGTTCGACGTTAGCTAGCCGGTGGACTAAGGTGAGGGATTAATGGGCTAGATGAGGATTAATCGGGGACCCTAAATTACTAACTCGTTAAATTTTAAAAAACTAAATATGACTAATGTCATAACAAAGTTTGTAAATACTACTAATATCATAATAAAATATGTTAATATGATTAATACAACAGTCATCATTTTTCAAATAGCTTCTATTGAGATATATAACTTCTTCAAAATGTTAAATTTTCATCGTTCGCTACTGCTTCACATATTGTATTGATAGTGATTAATCGTTAGACGCATTCTAGTTGTTTGGTAGCGGCTAGGCACTAATTGAAAATTAATCGGGACATAATCGGGATTTTTACAACAATGAGTAAAATAGATTTTGGAAAAATTGTTCGAATAGATTTTATAGAAGTCAAACAGTCCAGGTTGATTGTTTTTAAGTGGCTGTTATATGTTTTTTGATTACGTTCTTTCCACTTTATATGGTGGTGTCCATTGATCAATTGTTTTTCATGTTGATTTCTTACGTTACAAAGTATGGTTAATTTTATAGCAAAAATCCGCAACAATATATATATATATATATATATATATATATATATATATATATATATATATATATATATATATATATATGTCAAATCATATATTCATATATTTATTTATATACACAGCTGTAAGATTTAATGAATGATAAAGCTATCAAGTTATCCTAAACTAGCTTTCCAAGTCTTTGATTTGACTTCCTTGTTTTTGCTTTTCTTTAGTCAATGCATTGTCCGAAATTTTGAGCAAGGTGGGCTACTTTTTATAGGCACTTGGAGAAAGTAATACCTCGAGAACAAAATTCAACCATTGACACTGTCAAGAACGACTCTTGCCCTTCCCATATAAATACAAGACATCCATATCGTGAAAACGATTGTGAATCATATGTTAATTATTATTTTCCACTCAAACGTTATAAAACCATTTTAATTTCATAAAAGTCGTATGAATGTGTAGAATTACAGAAAGATTGGAGTTTAAATATGAAACGACTCATTGTCAAACAAGGGAACTTGTTTTATGATTGAAAATTAATCTGTGATGCATCACCCCCTCCTTTTGCTTTTTGTTCATTTTTTATTCGTTTAAGGAGTAAACATAAAAAGTTTTTTAAAGCATATATACAGTTTATACTTTTAAAAACTGTAGGTATGTAAGACAACCACAGTTGAATAGACGGAATTTTTGTGTTTCTAAACGTTTTGAGACAACCCCAGCAATAGCATGAAATCATTGCCATTAGAAGCGAAAACACTTAGATATCAATGACTGTTTCTTTATTTCAAAATTTCACGAGTGACGATGTAAAAAGAGTGCTTGTAATTAAGTGGGAACTTAATAAAAAGACTATATTCCAGAAATTTAAGTTTAACTTCACATCCTTTGGCATCAATCAGATGTTGACTATCTTGAGGATCTTGTGAGTTCATGGTAAATGTTAGAATGACAGACCGGACGGAAAGAAATTCAATATAAAATGGGTATAACAAATTTGGCTAACTCATTTTGTTAAAATGGTGTCTAATAAGGTTTTCTAACAAAGAGAGCGTGCCATTTAAATTTATAATACTAGTATTAATATTTATTGAATTTAAAAAACCATTAAAATGAAACATGATTGAATTTTATATCTTTATTTAAAAAATTATAAAATCCACCATCCATCAACCAACGTGTGCCATCCTTCACAGTCGACGATCACCGTTCACCACCCGGCAGAAGCCCTATATACTAGTTTGAATTTTTTGTTCAATACCATCAACCACTCACCTAGTCTGAAACCACCACTCAATGCCATTAGTACAAAACTGGCCTTTGGTCATACAAAAAAAAAAATTGTCACTGTAGACATTTTATGACGATCTTTTTTTTCATTCGGTGTGTAAAGAAAGGTCGCATTATTAAAGATAAGTTATTGTGACGTGTAATTGTGGTGGCTATAGCCCATAAAAATCGTTACTTTAGGTAAAAACCATCAACGTAGGGTACCAATTTTTGTACTTTTTTCAATCATTTTTTGATAACGGTCACCATAAACTATTTTCACTCACAAGTTGTTTAGTTTTCATTGCTATTGTTGACTTTTAGTGACAATATATTAAAACATGACCATAAAGTAATATTAGTCACATAGTTTTTCGTTTGTCATTGTTATGATTGACTTTTAGTGAAACGTAATATTTTAAACCATGACCATAAATTACTTTTAGTCACACATTCGTTTGTCATGACTATTATTAATTTTTAGTGACACATAACATATTAAACTGTGACCATAACCTACTATTATTCACATGTTTTTTTGTTTCTCATGGCTATTGTTGACTTTTAGTAACAAGTAATATATATATATATATATATATATATATATATATATATATATATATATATATATATATATATATATATATTAATCCGTGAGTATTGTTGACATTGAGTCACATTTATTTTTTGTTATAACTACTGTTGAACAACTTAAAATCATCTAATCATATGTCAAATATTAATCAATTAACATCATGTACGTTAAACAACTTAAATTAATAAACATACTATACAAATTTTGTAATACATTAAAAATGTCTAATACAATTACATACAAAATATAATAAATGTTTAACAACTTAATTTAAAAAAAAAAAAAAACTAAAAACCATTTGTTGGGTTATCGAGTTGTTGTTAAATTATGTAATAAAACCCGCCAAATTGGTATTTAAGTTGTCTTTTTCTTCGTTATTTCTTTTTGCATCTCTCCATTTACCTGCAACAAGAACATGTTTTCACAAATTGGTAAGATTTATCAAAGTGCAATGTTAAAATAGTAAAATCTTGAAAGTATGATACTATATATAATGACCAAAAGGTGGTATTTTAACCGATCAAGAGTCTCAAGAACAAGAATCTTCAACAATCATAAGCACATTATGTAAAGAATCGGAAAAAACACCTATCATTGCAGAAAAGTGAAAACAGATTTAAAAATGTACCTTTCAAGATCATTGACCTTAGCCTCAGCCTCTACTTTCTTGGATCTATGTTACCAAACAATTCCATTTTCCATTATGTGTTGGAATTCACAATTCCATTAGCTTATAGTTATAACAACTAACAATCAATTTGCAAATAAAAGAAAAACGAATGTAATATTCCCCAAAGTTTTACCAAGCCCATTCCTTTTCGATTATGTGTTGGAATTCACAAGTCCATTCCAATTTGAATATAGGTTAGTAAATAAAAAGGATAAAAAAAACCAACCCTTTTGCATTCTCAATATTGGATCTGCCATGTTTATACCCATGGAAGTCGATCCTGGTGTTGGTGTTATGAAATGTGATATCAGATCAAGATCAAGAACAACATCAACATATGCCTACATATTTGAAGCCTTAAATTAGCAAACAAGAAAATCAATAAAATCATAAAGGGAGTTCGCTACCTAAATGGTTAATACATGTCCAGATCAAGAACAACATCAACATATCCCCACGAGAACTCTAAATTGAAATGGATACCAGTCAAAGGAACTCCAAAAGCATAACGACTTCTTCATCCTCTCGTAGTTATCTGGTGCCATAATTTTTAAGTAAAATCATCATCTGGATCAAATAAACAATTGCAATACCCTATTACCCCTGTTTATATATGATTACTAAATATTAACCAACTTAGAGTCATCTTTGTCTTCATTGAAAAGGCCATCCAGTACCAAAATCCATTCCTACCATACCAACAGTGTCAAAATATGATTCAAATTCTGGAAATGAAGAAAGAAAGATAAAATGAAAGAAAAGAAAAGAAGTAAAATGACATATGATATGGTTTATATTGATGAACCTTGAGCTATGGTTGAACCAATGACTCCAAGTATCAATCCACAACTGATAGGTTGAGCATGGGTAGGGGGTGATCAGTTAACTGGTGTTTATATTACAAAATTTTGATTAATGACCTCTAGTGACGCAATTAACCAAATTCATGACTACTTTTTTTTTCCAAAAAGCATGGCCATATGTCATTTTTGTACTAGTGGCATTTAAGCGTATATACTAGTTGACAAAGCCTTATATACAAAATTCTTGAAGCTCGATTAATAAACCGTAAGGGAAAACGTTTACAACCAAGACCAATTAACACCCATCCCCTTCCCCCCTAAATTTCACAACACCCATTTCAAAATGAAAGAAACTAATGAAAATGTTGAAAAAATGATGAAAATACACTACTTAGATGCCATTATCTTTTCTATTAGTTTTTACTTTTTTAGTTATGTTTTTAATCATTTTTTTTATTTATACCTATTCTAGTATAAATAATGAATGACTCATATTTTCACCAGAATTCTCATAATGCTCATGATTTTATGTATTTTTCATGCATTTCGAAGTGGAGCAATATTTTGGAAGTTTTTCGAAGTAGCTTGGAGCATATTTGGAGCTTAATGGATCTAAAATACATAAGGAAGCTAGAAGCTGAAATAACGCAACTAAAAACTAAAGAAGTCGAGTAAAAAATGTGCATATGTGTAGTTACACAATCACATTTATTATTACACGATCGTGTT